TGGAAGCCGCAGAGACAGATGCCCAGTTAGCTCTCAGCAGCAGTCCAGAGCCCGAGTCCCCTCCCCCAGCACCTTGAGGCCCAGGAGGGAGGGGAAGGGGGGACAGACTGGCTCACCACACAGGTGTCCTTGCCGCCCTCCAAGTATCCAGCACACAGCATGAACTCTGTCACCTTCTGGGAGTGGGCTTTGGCACACACATCGTTGGACAGGAGTTTGAGGTCCACGCACTGGAGATCGTCTGGGTATGTGACTACAGAACAGAGATGAAAAGACCCCAAGTGGCTCCTCGGCCCCTCCTCCCTCAGACCCTGGAGTCCGGCTCCCCAGCCCCTCCTCCCTACACCCAAGGGTCTGGGCTCCAGGCTGCAGGGTCTGGCCCCGGCATACACTTATCTGGTTCGATGCTGCCCCAGCCGGAGGCGTAGCAGGTGCTCCCCACTTGGGGTTCCTGGGTGGGCAGGTCCAGGACCCTCACGGCATCGGTTATCTGGGCGGGCTCTGCCAGGCGGAGCAGCATGAGGTCGTGGCTGTAGTCCTCTCCCGGGAGGCGGGTGTGGTTCTCCAGGAGACTCAGGTTGAATCCAGGGTGTGGGAAGCTACCACTGACCTGGACAAACTGGGCTGTGTCTTCGTGCTCAAACAGGTTGTAGCGACCCAGCCACAGCTGATAATTGCTGGGGACAGAGGGGGCCCCAGGGAATGAGGAGAGAGGAGGGGGAAAGGGCGATGGGGAGCCTGGGGGGGGGTGTGTCGCGGGGGGGGAGAGAGAGAGAGAGAAACAAGGAGTAACCATGGAGAGAGAGACAGTTGGGAAGGTAAAGAGCTATGAAGAAAAGACAGTGAGTGAAAGACAGAAGGATGTGACAAGATCAAAGCCAGAGACAAAGACAGAGTGAAAAGGAGAGAGCAGAAAAGGAGAGAGGGAATGAGAGGCAGAGGGAAGACAGAAACAGAGCCCAAAGGAGACAGAGACAGAAGGAAGGGTCCTGGGGAAGAAGAAGAAGTGAAGGAACAGACTTGGAAGGAGCAGGGGCAGCAGGCAACGTGACGGAGGGAAGAGGAAGCAAAGGGAGAGAGTGAGGAACACAGGCAGTGGAGGGGGGAGGGCGGGAACGAGAGAGAACAGGAAGGGAGCATGGGGGGGGGGGAGGGCCTGGGACCTGCTCAGCTGCAGCAGGGGCTGTGGGGCTGGCTCCCCAGGAGCGGGTGGCCTGGCCCCCAGCCCAAGGACGGCGTCCCCCTCCCTCCCCAGACCTTCCCACCCTTTCCTCCTCCTTCTGCCCCTCCTCCTCCTCTTTCTCCAGGGCTCCCACTAGGCTCCAGCTGAAACCAGCCCTTCCCCGTGTCCCCCTGGAGTGGATCATTGTCCTGGAGGGAGGGGCTGAGCACGTGAGAAGACCCCTCACACAGAGACATATGGGGATAATCCCTTCCTTTTTCTGGGGTCCCATCCTGGGGGGGGGTGCTCAGCAGCACTGGGGGTGAGGCAGAGACCCAGGGGCAGAGGTGGAGAGTGAGACATAACAGTGACAGGGATGCAGCAGAGGGACCCAGAGATGGACAGAGACCTGGAGAGACACGGAGGCGCTGAGACCAAAGAGAAGGAGACCGAGAAGAATCTTAGTCATACAGACAGACACACAACAGAGCCAGTTATGGAGAGACACAGGGAGGCAGGAGGGGGAGACACAGGAAGACATTTACAAGGAGAGATGAAAGACACAGGTACCAGTGGAGGGCTTTCCTGGGGTGGTCCCCGCCACTCTCCATGACCTAGACCAGGAATGTCTTTCTTTCTCTCAGTCCTCCAGCCTCCCCTGAGGATAACCCGGGACAGTGCCCGCTGTTTATTCCTGTGGGAGCACAGACCGCCCCCCCCCCCAGACCCCCTGCCCCCACTCACTCATTTATGCAGTGGGCAGCTGTGAGCACCCACTGGGGGTGCACCAGGACGCCCCCGCACTGGAATTTGCTGTAATGGTACAGAGCTGCCTGCCAGGGCTGGGAATTCTTCTTACAGTCCCAGCCTCCTATGATCCGGGACTGGATGGGGGGCACAGCACCTGTGGAGAGGGTGCCGGGTCAGAGCAGGTGGGGAGGTGGCACCAGGAAGGCCTGGGCTAGGAGAGAGGGCTGTGCGGTGGGGTTGGGGGGACATGGGTCCAGAGGAGCAGGGCTGGAGGTCTGGGGAGACGGGCAAGGGGTACGGGAAGGGCCTGGAAGTCTGGAGCCTGCCCTGGGATTGTGGGTTGGTGGCGGGTCCTGGCGGGGGAGACTGCTGAGGGCAGAGCCAACCACAGGGATCAGGCAGGAGACAAGAAGGCAGCGTCTGGGGCAGCATGTGGTGTGGGGGTCAGGTGATTCAGGGGTGATGTGGTGCCTCTTGACTGGGACTGGGAGAGGGTCCTCTGGGGGTCTGGGGTCCTGGACTAGGGTTGGGGTCAGGACTGGGATGGGGCTCAGGAGGAGGGAGAGCCAGATGATAGTTCTTCTGGGATTGGGTGATTCTCATGGAGATTAGGGTCACGGTCTGAGGGTGTTGGAGGGATCTGGGGTTCTCCTGGGGGTGGTGTCGGAGAGGAAGGAAGGTGGAGACGTGTTGGGGCCAAGCAGCTGTGGGTCCTCCCTGCGTTCCCACTTGGTGTGGGGTTTTAGAATCACATGTGGGGGTCCTGCGGGAGGTCGGGGAGGACAGCTGGGTTCTGAAGGTACTTGGGATTCTGGAGGGAAGTCTAGAAAAACAGAGCTTCACAGGAGGGGTGCATTTGGGGAGGGCTGGAGCGTGGGCGGGGGAAGGAAATTCCACAAGGAAAGGAGTGTGTGGTTGGGGGTTCTGGGTGTTCTTCCTCAGGGAGAAGGCTGGGGGTGCTGGACCGGGGTTCAGCGGCAAAGAGGTGGGGAAGGAAGAGACATCTGTAGAATCCTCATACCAGGAGGGGAAGCGGGTCCACCCGGAGTCATGGGGTCTGTTTGGGGAGAAGTATAGGTGTCTGATGGAATTTAGGGAGTCTCGGGAAGATTTGAGGGAAACCAGATGCCAGGGACTGGAGGACCTAGCTGAGAACTGACAGCTGGAAGGGAAAAGTCACCAGGGTATGGAAGGATGTGGGGACTCAGGAGCTACAGACAGAGAACCACTAAGGACTAGAAGGGGGCTGTCGGGGTCCCAGGATCTGCTGGGACTGGGGGCACTCCTTGCAAGAGCAGGAGTCCCCCAAAGAGAGAGACAGATGGCCCAGCCTCTGCCCCTTTGGTAAAGTGGCTCAGGGCAGGGGTCGGAGTGGGGAGGAGGAGAAGATTTGGGGGGTTCCTGGGAGGGAGCAGGACCTAGCACAATAGTGGGAACTGTGACCACAGAAGAGGGGCTGGGAGAGAGCCTGGGACCCGGCCTGGGATGGACTGTGGGAGAGGAAGAAGTTATTGGGGGTGAGGGCAGCATGAAAGTGGGGTCCACTCTCCCCCTCCCCCTCCCATCCCTCTGTCTCACCAGCCCCCGCCAGGGACAGGGCAAGGCACAGAACCAGGAACCACATGGTGACCACAGGCAGGCAGGTGGTGAGCTTGGAGCTCAGGAGCCTCCCCAAGGAGCATTTTAAAGCCTTCATCCACCCCCTCCCCACCCTGAGGACCCGCCCCTGCCCTGCTGGCATCCAGATGCTGGCCAAGGCCCTGCCCCCGCTGCCTCCTGGGGGCTGGACACCTCCTCCCACCCCAGAGCTGTGGAAGGGGCGGGAGAGCAAGCACCTGTTGTTCTGTGGGCCCTGATTGTGCTGGAAGCGTTCCTGGGGCCTGAGGCCAGACAGGGCAGGGCCTGGAGCTCCTGGGCCCCTGCTCTTGGAGACAGAGCCGGTGAGGGGAGTTGGGGGGGGGCGGTGAGAAGAAACAGGAGCACGGAGGAATCAATGACCTCCAGTACAAAGTCCGATATATACCTGAACCCCAAGGAAGGTCACACACCTGAAGACCCAGGGTATCCTCAAACACCAGCTGAGGGGCTCCGATTCCCTTCTCCCCGCACCACTTGGAGCCAACACGCCAGTTTCCCGGCTTCAGCTGCCTCCGAAATGTAAGGCTTTCAGAACACCCTGATCCTTGCACTCCCAGACTCAGGATCTAGGTCCAAATCCATTTATTGTTTCTCTCCGAATAAAATCTCAGGGTACCTACCACCACCAGCCTAGTGCCCCCAGATCCAGAAACGAGGTGTCAGTGGTCTCCCTAAATAAGTCCCCTAGCATTCCAAAATCCAATGTCTCCCCCCCCCCGCCCGACTCCCAGAACAACATTGGGATCTCATCACACCCCACCACTACTCCTTGAGCGTCCAAGCCTGGACGCTCACGTTTAGGTCCTTTAAAGTCCCAGGAATTCCAGATTATCTGCCTCCCAAGGTCAAGAGAGGCCTCTCTACAAACGTAAGTCCCCTTCCCCCGGTAGGATATTTAGATCTCAAGAGCCAGGTTTATGTGGTTCAACATTCAGTGACCTTGAAGACCCCATTTTGGGAGGAATCTCTGTTGAGAATCAGGAACGAGATTTCCGCAACCTCAATGGTAAACTCATGGGCTTCTGGCACATTCTCTGAGCTCTTCAGCAAAATCAAAGTAGGCCACAGGGTAGCCCAGCCTCCGCTGCACGTCGGGAGACTGCTTAAGGAAAAAGAGAGCATTTGCCTTTTTGCCTGGCTGCCAGGAGGCCCACAACTGAATCTCGAAGAAAATGAAGTCATTCTCGATCATCTAGCGTGTGCTGGGGGTCTTTTCCGCTGGGGTCCAGAGATACATTTGCCCTGTGCCAGGCACTATTGGGATGAGTTCATATAACCTTCCTCATTTAATCCTTACAACGCCGTGAGGTAAGCAACATGAAGATCTCTGTTTCACACCTGGGGAAACCGGAGCTGAGTGGCATCGAGTCTTTTCCTCAAGACTGCACAGCTAATCCTGTGTGTATGTGAACGAAGAGCCCTGCTTCAAGCTGTTTCTTTTCACCTAGGCATCGGGGCAGCGAGTGAAATGGAGCAACGTACAGTGGCCTTGGGTTCCCCACCCAGTCTCTGGCTCCCACTTCCCTTCATCTCCAGAAGAAAGTCACAGCAACTCCTACAGAGAAACTTGCATCAGCACTGTTATCTCAGTGTTTAAACAGGTGACCTTGAGCACCAGCTCTGGCTTGACATGGGACAAATCCTTGGCCAACATGTGCGTCTTGGACAGATGGGGTGTTAAGGGATGGCTCAGTTCTGTCCCAGGTCAGGGTGGGGTGGGTGGCCAGCTACAGGAGTTTCTGCTCAGCCAGAGACACAGGTGGTAGACCAAAACAGTCAGTTCCTCTTCATGGTGTCCCTGATCCACCCCAAGTAGCTGCAGACTTTGGTATAAACACCAGGCTTGTTCGTAGTGTCACAGGGGACGTTACCCCAGGACACGATTCCCTGCAGGACTCCCCCACAGACCAGCCACCCTGTGTGGGGTCCCCCGGAGTCACCCTGTGTGGGGAAGAGAAAGTTTGAGTGGGAAACTTCTGGATCCAGTGCGCCCATCCTTAGCCTAATCACCGGGCACGATCTCCGTCAAAGCCCAATCCGACCCCACCCCATGCAATCCCTCTCCAACTCAACTCGATACAACCCAGTTTAACCCAATCTAATCCAACTCAACCGCAACCTAACACAACTCAATACAACTCAGCCAATCTATGTTCAATCCCCGCCATGTAGCGCCAACCCGACCCAACCCCCACGTCGTCCCCATTCAAACCCAAACCAGGCCTATCTATGTCCATCCTTACTGCCAACACAGCCAACCCCTGCTGTTACGGCTTTCACATCCCAGACAAAACTTACCCCATCCGCATTTCAACCCAACGTATTTTCCTTCTAAAATCAAACCAAGCCCATTCCTATTCTCAAATCAAAGCCAGGCCATTCCACACCAACCACCACATCATCCACCCCAAATACAACGCACCCCTACCTGCATCCCCAACCCCATCTCCAACTCCACCCCCGTTCTAACTGCCCTTCCTTCTCCACCCCCACATCTATCCCTAGCATCTTCTCTGGCCCAAAGCAAGCACAACCCGACCCCATCCCAACACCCAAGCCTGTTCCCCTAAACCCATGGCTCTGACCCCACAGGAGTCCGTGCCTCCGCCTTCTACTCCTGCACACACCGTAGTGCTCATAAGGCGCCCTGGGTAGTCCTTGCTACAAGATGTGGCCGGGATAACACTGATGTTGGCACAATGCAGCGGATCTGGGAGACTCACTGGGGAGGACAGTGGGCTTGGAGTGAATCCATACTTTCAGGCCCTTGTGTCCTTCGCCCACGAACCCTGGAGAATAGGGTCCCTGGAGGCCTGACACCCAGCGCCATCCTTTCACGCACCTTGTGACCTTGCGCTCCCTTTGGCCCCAGGCTTGTCATCAGCCACCAGGCCCCAGCCGGACACCACGCAGGCCTTGCCTGGTTGGGGACAATGCGTGGGCAGCGCGACGGGACGCACTTGCGGGGAGAGGCACGTGGGCCGGGTTAGACGTGGCAACATGACGTCGTGGCGACGGCTGCGCGCTTCGTGGCACGGGTGTGGGACGAGGCGAGCTACAGTCCACAGCCCTTCCGGGCCATCGCGCTTGCGCAGATTGTGCTCGCCTAGGCGCACGCTCATGAAGCTGTGCGCGTGCGCGGGCGATTATCCGCAAGGGCAGTGAGGAGCGGACGGAAAGACCAAAGAGCCGGCTAGCTGGGGTCCTTCACCCCTCGGGGAATCTGGAGATGCCTTTACCCTCTATTTCCGAGGCGCTGAAGCCCCGTTCTAGCCCCTGCCCCTCTGGGGCCACGGAGGTGCGCACACTTAGAACTCAGCCCCCAGGCTCCAGCTCTCTCCTCCTCAGAATCCAGGATTCTCAGATCCCTAGGCCCTTGGCATCCTGCCCCTCAGGACCCTGAGCCCTGCCTTCATACCCGGTGTGGCGGTGGGCAGCAGACAGCATCCGGCGTGCAGAGTGAGGGAAAGACCGCAGTTAAAGCGTCCACGCTCCAAGAGGGCCGCTCGCCTCGGCTGGGAGTGGGGCTCACACGCCTCACCTTTCAGCCTCTTGGCGGAGTGGTGCTGGGCCGCTGGGAGAGGAAGCAGAGAAGGATCCCTCACAACACAGTCTTTTCCCTTGTCGCACCTTGCCTACACCCTGCCCATGGTATGTATTTTTCACCTGTGCTCCCCACCCCCCCCCCCCATGTCTTAGGACGTCCCCATCCTTGAATTTCAAGTACTGTCTTCTCTCAGGCTTTGACAACTGCTGCTTGTTTTCTCCAGGACTGGCCCCTTGCCCTTCGCCCTCACCCGTTTATTACAGGATTCTGGGAGAGCGGGTATGTGGGGAAGGACCAGAAGGCAAGAAGTCCTCTGAGATTAGAAGTGGAGACAGGGACACTGGATAAGGATCCAGAAAGACGGTCACTTGGGACCAGCCATTCGAGGTCGCCACGCTGCCACAGGCATCAGATGGATGGGATGTGGCCACTCGGTGTATGACACCCAGTCTTGGCTCCAGAGTCCGGACATCTCAGCCAAATGCAGATGTGGCCACACAAGGTCATGGGCAAACATACAGCTGCAGCTGCAGCTTCAAGGATCACAGCACAGAGATTCATAGGTATATATGAGTCTGGACAGTTCCAGTGTGGGTGTGCATGTGGATACACACACACACACACACGCACACACACGCACGCACACGCACAGACACTGATTTGGACATACAAGCTCACATCTAAATTTACAGTCTCCTGTGTGGGTCTGAACGTACTAGGTCACAGACTTGCACACTAGCACCCAGGGGCTGGACCACAAGGTGGGGTCCTTAATAAGGGTACATGGGGAGAGACATGGATATGCACTCGGTCCCCCAAAGACTTGCGCACAGACGTGAGTCTGAGTATAGTGGTTATATCGGAATGTTAGAGTAAAACCCCTGCGTCCATGTTATCTGTGAGCCTTTGAGCAAATTATTTGACCTTTCTGAGCCTACATTTCCTCATCTGTAAGATGGGATTGTTGTAAGGAATGAATAAGAGACAGAGACAGAGAGAGAGGGAGAGAGAGAGAGAGATGTCTGGCTTATTATAGCTGCTTAATAAATACTACTTATTTTAAACAAAGGACACGTAGACTTATTTTTTTTTTTAACGTTTATTTATTTTTTTTGGGACAGAGAGAGACAGAGCATGAACGGGGGAGGGGCAGAGAGAGAGGGAGACACAGAATCAGAAACAGGCTCCAGGCTCTGAGCCATCAGCCCAGAGCCCGATGCGGGGCTCGAACTCACGGACCGCGAGATCGTGACCTGGCTGAAGTCGGACGCTTAACCGACTGCGCCACCCAGGCGCCCCACGTAGACTTATTTATGCAGATATGCATGTGGATGTTCAGGTTGTGGACAGAAATTTAGCCAAAGTAAGTCAGCCATATGAACAGGCTCAAATGAAGATAATCAAGGTCAAAACTATGATTCATCCTCAAGTCACTTTGTGGGGATCCAGAGTAATAGACACTGACCCAGAGGGCCAACACTTAGATGTGGCCCCACTAGATCACACCCCAGGGAAACAAAGGACACAGGGCTAGGCATCCAAGGTCAAAGACGTAGCCAGAGGCACAAGACAGGACATGTTTTCCCATCTCTAGACCTGTTGCCTTGTCAGTCACTTGGTGTTCAAGGTCACTCATTGCGTTTCACATGGGGGACCTGGCTCACACATGTGGGCAGGATGTGGACACACAGGGCCTTGCAAACCCACCACACACACACACACACACACACACACGCAGGACACTGCAGCATTGTACCATGCACAAGGACATAAACAGCGATGTTTCAAAGTCACAAAACCGTGACCCGCTACTGGGCAATGGGGATATGATCCCTCAAGATCACAGCCAAACACACAGACACCCACACTGGGGCAGGAATTTGCACAGCTAGACAAAATACCCACATTCTGCCTGCCAGGGTCAAGAACTGGGCCAAGGGCCCTGGCAAGGTTGGGGGAATGCGGATGTGGTAGACAGGGGGCTTAACAAGGGAAGGGTGGGGTTGTCCTGCAAAGAAGGACAGAAGGTGTGGGCTGAACAGCTGGGCATCGAGGCTGCATCTGGCCAGTCCAAGCCGGAGGAGGGTGGAGGCCCTGGCTGGGTGCAGCGGCAGGCGGGAGGCAGGGAGGAGAGAGCACAGAGAAAGCCTGAGGGGAGGCTGGCAGCAGGGGGGAGCTTCAAGGGGCCCCCAGAGGCGAGGGTCACGTGGGGACATAATGAAAGTCCACCCTCAACTTCTCCAGGTAGAGGCGTCAGGTTACAGTTAAGTTCTCCATGGGTGGTAGCTGAACATGGTTTGGAGTTTTCCTGCTACCCAGGGTCACCTTGACATTGTGGCCACCCCTCTCTAGCCTCAGCCCTCTTCCCTGTCAAGTGAGGCCGGTAGAGCCCACCCTACAGAGATGTTTTGAGAATTAGATGAGCTGTAGCACGTACCCAGGACTCAGCAGTGCTAACAACACCCTCACGGGGGTACTGCCCTGGGCTAAGTCCCTTCTCGTGCCCTACACACAGGACCACATTCAATCCTGCCCTGGGGGCATCAGTTCCTATGTCCACGGTACAGTTGGGGATCTCGAGTCGCAGAGATGTTCAGTAACTGCAAAATGGTGAGCTGGAATTCAAACCTGGAGTCTGTGCTCTTGACCTTGCTAACACTTGTTGAATGCTTATTATGAGCTTTATCTACATTGTGCTATTGAAACCTCACCGTGGTGGTCATGGGTAGGTGCTGTCTTCTAGAGAAGGCACTCTAGGTGGAGAGAGGTGAAGTCATTTCCTCAAGGTCACACAGCAAGGAAGGGGCAGCCCCAGACCTTGAACTCAGGTCTGTGTCATCCCCAGAGCTGATTTGCTGTCGGGAGCAGCGAGAGACCCAGTTGGCTTGGGGACTCCAGAGCAGCCCCAGGCTTCTGAAAGTTCTTGGGGTAGGGTGAGCACTCAGGAGCATCGGGTGGCTGGGTGGGGTGGGGTGGAGCAGGGCTGGGGGTGCTGGCAGATCGTAGGCCCTGGCTTTGCTCCTGATGGAGCGGAGAGGTACCGCACCCCCACAGACCCAGACCTGACCTGGGCCCACCTCACCTGCAGGCGTCAGCAGGAAGGAGAAGGTGAGAAGCCACATTATGGAGAAGGGATGCGGGTTCTGCTGAAGTCTGGGGAGGGGAGAGAGTGAATGGAGTTGAGCCTGGACACTTCCGCCCTCCCCTGAATCCCTCCAGACACAAACACATCCATCCCACCTGCTGCTTGAGAAACTTCTTTCACCATCTTGGTCCCCCCTACCCCCACCCCAGACTGTTCTTCCTCCCCGCCCCACCCGGGTTCTCCATCTCTGAGGGTTCCTGTTGTTTCTCTAGGCACCAGAACAGGCCCTCAGGTGCCCCACAGCCCGTCAGCCCCCAGCACCATCCCACTTGGCCCTGGATCTCTCTCCAACCCTGAGGCTCTGGGTCAGGATACATTCTCCCCCCCCAGACCCTAATCCCAGCCTCCTGTCTGGCCTCCTGGGGGTGTGTCTTCCCCCCATTTGTCCCTCCAGTCAAGTTCCCACTCCCCTAGCTCGTTCCCCTACATGCCCCCTCAGGGTCTTTCCATGCCCAGAGTTGACCCTGTCCGACTCCTGCCTATAGCCCTCATAGATTCCCCAGCGCCCTCAGGATAAAGTCCTCGCTCCCCAGCCTCACTTTTGAGGATATGGGGGTTTCTCCCTTTCCAGCCCCTCTGACCAGGTGTCTCATGACCTTGCCTTTCTAGGCATAGCTCATTCTCCCATTTTCCTTCCTGCGATTTCATGCCTCCCTGGCTTTGCTCAGGCTGTTCCTCCTGGCAGGTATGCCATTCCCTTCAAGGTCCACTTCCTCCCTGAGGCCTTTTCTGACCTTCTCTGGTCCATGGTGTCTACCTTACCCACCAGACTGGGAACTTACTGAGGGCAGGCCTGGCCTGACTGGACTCTGGATCCCCAGCACTGCCCAGTGAAGGGTCTAGTCCATGGGAGGCCCCAGCAAGCTTAGGGAGTGGAGGAAAGCCTTCCTCTCATCTTCCAAATTCATATTCCGCCCCCAAGGCTCAGCCCCCACCTCTTCTGGGAGGCCCTGGGACCTAACAGGTGTCCTTTCTGGGCCGCTCAGCCCTGGTTCTGCCTCCATCACATCACAGATCCCCAGACATGCTCAGGCAAGGTCTTCTCTGTGTCCCCAGCACTGCCCAGCCTGGAGCCTGTCACACGGGGCACCTTGGGGAGGTTGAGCTGAGGTGACCTGAACCCCTGATGACTCCTGACTTTGTTCTTGGCTCTGACACAAGTGTTTTGGGGGACATCCTCCTGATTCACTCCACCCCCACCCCTTCCCCGTCCCTCCCCCACCCCCCACTCCCTCTTTCATCTCCGGGACATTTTCTTGGTTCAGGTTCAACTTGGAGCCTCAGCAAAGGACACATGAAATTACACAGGTGCCCTTGAAACTCAGCTCCCTCAGGGCAGTCCGTGTCGGTTCCCGGGGATAGGGCACCCAGTGTTTCTTCTAGATCAGGGCAGACCTGTGTCTCCTCTAGTGTCTCTCACCTCCCCCCAACCCTGACTTTTGTCTCAAAAGAGCTCACCCCCTCCAGATCCCCCAGCTTCATCTGGGGCAGCTTGGATGCCGGGGGAAGGGGAGCAGGCATCTGAATACTTGAATTTCTAAGTCCCCAGCCCCACCCGGGTCTAGAGGGGGTAGGGTGGGGTGGGAGGTGGTTGAGATTCAGGTTTACAGGCCGGGATGCCTAGGTGGCTAGTGGGGTGGGGGACAAGGCCTAATGAGCATTTATTAGATTGAAGTTTTTGTCTGAGTCTGTAAGGAAGAATTCCCTGCCAGGGACAGTTCCTCAAGGGAGAGGAAGTAGGAGGGCAAGAGCCCCAAATCAGAGATCAACACATAGGACCAGGAGTCTGCAACTTGGAATTTGGGGTCTAGAGTGTGGAAACTGGATTCTAGAGTCATGCTTCTTGTGCCTGGAGTTGGGTTCGGGATCTTGGATTCTGGATGTTGATCTGGATCCCTGGTTTTGGATTCTGAACCTTGGATCTCTGATTCTGGCCAGTGGATTCTGGATCTGGATCCCCACTTCCTGATCTTGAATTCTGGAGTCAGATCTCTGATTCTGGACCTTGCTGCCTGGGCCTCCTAACTCTGGATTCTGGATATTAGATTCTGGATCTTGGGTTTTGCAGTTTTTGCTGTGGCTCTCCAACTCTGGACTCTGAGTTTGGAGGTCTAGAGTCAGGCATTTATGACTTGAAGTCTAGAGTGTGGATTTTAGAGTCTGCATTCTGGAGTTTGGGTCTGGAATCTGGATCCTAAGAGTCTGGTCTTTGAGTGACAGGTCTTGGTCTTGGATCCTAGAAGCCTTTGAATCTGGAGTCCAGACTAGGAATCTGGAATTTGGTGTTTGGAATCTAAGACTTGAGGCCTTGAGCCACCTTCCTTGGTGGGACCTGAGTGGGTGGTGGCGAGGGGAAGGAGGCGAACCCCTGGGGATTTTAATCATCATGAGAACTTCCCTGGTGCCAGGCTAAGCGCTTTCCATCGTGATCGCATGTGTTCCTCCCACTAAGTCACGCAGGCGTGTGACACAGATGGGGACCCCGAGGGAACTGACACCTAGCTCAGCCCATGCTCGCGGGCTCACTGGGAGGGCGCCTGGCTCCGCCTCCGACGCGGTGACGTCTGCGCCCCTCCTCCCGCCCACTCTGACCGCGGCAGACCTGGGCTATCGATCGTAGTCCTCCTGGGCATCTTTCCAGTTGTCCTTCACCTCCAAAGGCAGGCCGAGTCCCGCCCTCTGCCTTGCTCCTCCTCCTCCTCCTCCTGCGAACACTCCCCGGAGCCTTTCTTTCCTCGACTCCTGTGGATCAACCGCCAACCATCCAGGTCTCTTTCATCTGACCCTGAACTCCAGCCTCTGGAGGCACATGCTCCTGGGCATCCTGCCCCCCCGGCCCCCCCCAGTGTCCCCAGGCCCTTCTCACTCGCGTCCTAACTCCTTTGTCTCTCCCCAAACTCCTCCTCCCTTGTTTCCCGTCTCAGGGACAGCTCCACCCACCACCCAGTACCCCCCAGGCACTGTCCCAGCCCCTCCCTCTCCCTTAGGCCCGGCAGCTCCGCGGTCCCCAGCCCCACCCCTTCTCTCTATTTCCTTGGCCTGGGTGCAGCTTCTAGATCCTTGCCTCCAGCCTCCCTCCCATCCATCTCCAGGTGGCCTCAGAAGGTCTCACTACACTGAAGGTCTCTTTAACACTCAGAGTTGACCCCTTTCTCCTCCTGCTCACAAGCCCTTCTGTGGTGACTCCGCATCCCGCTGGACAAGGTTCCTGCCCTCAGTGGGACGTTCGAGGCTGGGACCCCCCCTTGTCTGAACAAGACTCACCTTGAATCCCTCCCCTCGGGAGACAGTCCCTGTGTGCTGACCACCCTGGAATAAGCCTGGATTCCTGGTGCTGGAAGCTCCCCCTTCCCCTTCATTATGGGACCACTCGAAGGTGGTGTTTCAGGGTGCTGGCTCTAAAGTCAGACAGCCTGGGCTCAGGCCCCTGCTCCCCCATTTGCTAATTTGGGAGATCCTGTTATGTATTTTCGCTTCTTTGTGCTTCTGAGTCTCATCCTTAAAATCAGGTCATCAGAGGACCCCATCATAGAGTTTTCCAAGGAGTACCTAAGAGCTAGTGCACGTGAGGAGCTAAGAGCACATAGCAAACCATGACTGTTCATTTCGCCCCATTTCACACAGGAACAGACAGGGGGAAGGGGAGGGTCCCACTGGTTCAAGATCACCCAGGCTGTAGAAGTTGGGAGGGGGGCAAGAGAATGGTCCAAGGGACCCTGTTACCTCTTGGGTGCAAAGCGTCACTTCTCTGGTTATCAGGGTCTTAGTGTGGGGTAGGAGTAGAAAAGGGATGGGGATGGTCTCTGGGTTGGATGAATACGCATGCAGCAGGTGTGAAATCACAAAATTAAGTTGGCGTTTGAAAGACTGGTTAACACAGGGTGTGATTCAGATGTGGACTCCAGAACCAGGGGGCCTGGGTTGGAATCTTGCCTCGAACACATAACACATCCTTGGGAAAGTCGCTTGGCCTCTCTGTGCCTCGGTTTCCTTATCTGTAAGACGAGAATAATTGCTTCTGCCTCACAGGAGTGTTTTGAGGCATGAATGCCTGAAACCCGTGCCTGGCGACTTTTGAAAACGTTGCCTCTTTTCTTCTTGTCCTGGGAGGCTCCCGCCGCTAGGTGGCGCCAATGTGCACTTGTCCGCCGGAGGGTTTGCTCCTGGGTCTGAGGGAGGAGGGTTTGGGTGAAGGACCCAGAATCTTGGAACTCTGACTGAAGAACGAGGTGAATCTTGGCGGCTGCCGGGGCAGGTATGGAGGTGGGTGGGGGGTGGAGACCTGTCCCGGGATTTGTCCCTAATTGGTCTACGGGAGTTTTGGGATCCAATCAGTGATGGGACGGGTTTGTGTAGGCATTTGGTTTCCCACAGGGGTGGACTGCCGTGGTCGGTGGACGCAAGGCCGTGTCCCTCCACCCAGACCAGAGAGCTCCCACCGTCCTTCATGGACAGAGGGGGAGGGACCAACATCCAGTCCAGCAGAACATCAAAGGTGGTGGGGATGGTGGGGGAGAGAGAGAATATGGCAGGGAGAAGAAGGGAGAGAGAGAGAGAGAGAGAGAACAGGACAAAAGACAAAGGAAGGCGGGACAGACCTTTCCCCCAAACCCACCTCCTTCCCATCTGCCCCCAGCAACACCTGTGTCAGAGCTTTGCCCCCCCCCACCCCGCCCTGCTGCCTTGTCTTTTCACTTTTTAAAAATGTTTGTTTATTTCTTCCATATTTATTCCTTTCCTGAGAGGGAGAGAAGGACAGAGTGCGAGCAAGGGAGGGGGTAGACAGAGAAGGAGACACAGAATTGGAAGAAGGCTCCAGGCTCTGAGCTGTCAGCATAGAGCCTGACATGGGGCTCGAATTCATGAACTGCAAGATTGTGACCTGACCCAAAGTCAGATGCTTAACTGACTGAGGCACTTAGGTGCCCCTTTTTCTTTCTTTCTTTCTTTCTTTCTTTCTTTCTTTCTTTCTTTCTTT